AGTAACATTCTACATCAGTTTATCGAGGAAAGAAACCTTTTTAGTGTTCTTCGCTGTTTTTGCTGAGATACATCCACACATTACTCTTCCATAATCTTGTCTATTACCATCATCACCCTAACCCTTCACCCCATCCTTGTTTTCAACACATTTGGTTTCACGAGTTCAATAATATATCTAAAAACATTTTTAAGAATAGACATATATATTAACGTAATTTTTGTACAGAATGAATACACAAACAATAAAATAAACAACGCCTAGAACCGTCAGAATATCAGAGTCAAAGTTTGACGGGTCGTACAGCCTTAGACGCTTTTGACACTTCTTGGTCTTCTCTGCGACTAAGTAAGCCTTATCCAAGCTTAGTGAGCGTGCAAGCTCACAAAGATTGAAACCAAACTCTCAAGGCTTCTAAGATTGCGGAAGCTTTAACACCAACGTGACTACTCCAAGCCACCAAGATCGGACTATCGTGTGGAAGTGCAACACGAGTGTGGCTACTCCTGGCCACCGAGATAGGCAACAACACAAAGAGAACAAAGAACTAAGAACTCTAAAAAAATAGAGTAAATGCCTCATAACTTTGAGAAAACTCAAATTTTAAAATGAATACATATCTACCTAACACCTCAATAGATCCGCCAATGCACAAGCCTCTTTCAATCGTAATGGAGAACTCGTTCTTTCCATGCTTCCTAGGGTTTTTAGTATATAGGCCCAGTAATTGTCTATCCATCCTTTTATCTAACCAATGATTTTTCGACATTCATACCCCTTCTACATTATGAGCTCCTTAAGCGTTCCCCAAATGTATTAAAAAAATAAACAAAATCCCATGTGTAAAATCCAGGACTGCTTATTACATCTATGTCTGAAATAAGCCAAATAAAGGGTAGACCATTTTTATAACAATAACACGTACGGCAGTGGAAATTTAGTCGGAAGGTTCCCCAACTATGAGACGTTGCTTTTTTAAGTCTACTGTCTATTGAAAGCTACAAAATGGTCACCCGATTATTTATTATGTTTCAAACTCGTCCTTTTTCGTTAAAATTTTGTTGGCAGTTTGACCTGAATGTCAGTCTGCTGGTGGAGATATGATAGTTGTTTGAGATTATGGGTTCGTATTATATCATATCTCAATCATCATGTTAATGTCCAACTCAAACTGCCATTAATTTTTTAACGAAAAAGGACGAGTTTGGCACACAATGAATAATCAGGTAACCATTTTATAATTTTCAAAAGATAGTGGACTTAAAAAAGCAACGTCTTATATTTGATGAATCATTTTGTAACTTTTAATAATCGAAAGATTTAATAAAGTAATACCCTATAATCGAAAACCATTTATATACTTTACCCTTATTTCTATTCGTTATAGATTAATCATCGAGTTCAATATAACATGAAAACAATATATTTTTCATCACGTATTTAACGTTAATATATTCACCCGATAACGATCCTCGAACCTAACATTCTGATTAAACCGAAACAACCTCGTTGTATACTTCATTGAGAAGATAATACAACCGTGTATCGTAACACCCAAAAGTCTTTTGAATTGCAAAAGTACTTTTCCCCTTCCAGCATAAGAAAAAAAATACTCCAACCAAAAGAGATTTTTCCATTTTCCGCCATAACCATGAGTGAAACACCAGAAGAATCCCATGAACCATCATCCACAATAAAAGATGATGAATCACAAGGCAAACCAGGTGATGATGATCATCATCATCATCAACCTTGTGCAAATGAACCACCATCTTCATCGGAGGAAGAAGAAGATAAAAAGCAATGGGGAACTCACATCATGGAGCCACCGGCGACACCTGTTGCTCACCCGGATAACCAAAAGGCCGCTGCTTCGTGGATCGCCGGTGACCACCGGCGAAACCATGAGCTGCCTTACCTCTTTTACTCGCCGGCGCCCGAGAAAACCACGCCGAATTCATTCGAGCTTGTGATTAATGTGTTCAATACTTGGAGTAGGAAGGCCGAGACCGTCGCCCGCGACATCTGGTACAATCGTAAGTTTTATATTATTGTACAACTCAGTTTTAACATATTTATCAGTTTTGATCCCTAAATTTTACAATTTTATTTTGAACAAAACATAATAGTATTCTTAGCTTCCCCTCTTAATATACGTATTTGAAATTTACTAATTGCTAAATTTAAGTTACCATTTAACTCCCAAGCTAATGAGTAATGACTATACTAATGGAAAGGGATGCTTAGCTGACTACAAGACCTACTTGATTCGATATTAATATTTGGCAAAAATGTATAAGAGGTCCCTATAATTGATTCAGTCCACGGTGATTAATAACGTGACGGATGACATGATAGATTGGCTAAATTGATAACACAAATATCATAACAGTTAATGACGATCATGCCAACACCATAATGGTCAATGACAGAAGAATATTGGTTAAAGAATCACATTGAGTTTGTTTTCTGAATTTGAAGGCCACATTGAAAGAAATGATACTGGTCTACATTGAATTTTTTTTCCCAAAAGTACAGAAACTCTAATATTTTGACTACTTAATCAAAACGTTTGAAGTTGGGGACAAATTTAAAACTCGAGCAATAGTTTGACGATCTCTAGTTAAATTAGCCCTATTTCTTATTTAAAACTTTTTTTTTACAAAACCATGAAAAAGTATTTACACATGCACGGCGGAAAACTACAGTGAAAACTGGACCGTCGGTGACGGATGCTGCATGGGGCAAAGTAAACCTGACGGAGAAAGCAATAACGATGGGAGGATTTGAGTCCATGTTCAGGAATATTTTTACGACCGACGAAAACGAGAAGCTGAACAAGGCATTCGCTTGTTACCTATCGACAGCCACCGGCCCTGTCGTCGGAACTCTCTACTTATCAACCGATAGGGTTGCCTTTTGCAGCGATCTTCCCTTATCATTCTCATCTCCTTCGGAGAAGAAGACCTGGAGCTATTATAAGGTTATAATATTAGTTCGACACGAAAATAAAATATAATCATAAGATGAATCTAAATAGATGACGATAAAATTAAATTATTTAGTTACACCTTGTAAGTGAATCATATTCTAACATGAATGTCTCAAACAGGTTATGATACCTTTGGAGATTATAGGAGTGGTTTATCCGGTGGTGATTAAAGAAAACCTGACGCCATATAGTTATATCGAGCTCGTTACTGTCGACGGCCACGATTTCTGGTTTACGGGTTATTAAGTTTGAGAAAGCATAGTCTCAGTTTTTAAACACTGTGCATGATTTCAAGGCAACCAAATATTTACTAAATCTATTTGATATTGAACGCTTACATCCTAATATTCTTAGTGCTCGAATCCATGACCTCAGGAAATAACAACAATTATTTTATCACCGAGATCGTTTGACTCGTGTGTGTGTATATATATATAATGATATGGTATACTCATACTTTGGGGGCAATGCCTGAATCTTGGATGATATATGTTTTGCATGGTTGTTTATTTGTGTATTGCGTGCTTAAAACACTATTTATTTATTTTAGTTTATAACTTAGAATATCTAAAACTTCTTTCAATTTTTTATGTAAGATGTAATTGTATTTATCTATTTAAACTTATAACTTTAGGAATATATCAACCAAATCAGGATTCAATTAATAAAATAATATTAGGGTAAAGTACACAAATGATCCTTAATTGACTCTAGGATTTCACTATTATAATAAAAACCAATGTAACGCATTCTACCCATAGTTCTATTGGTTCTGTTATACCTACCGTTTATAATCAGTCAGAAACAGATACTTTGGTAGTATCACTCATTTGTTTGGTCATATCTATTCATTTGGACACGATTACATCTGATGTTGAGTTTGCCATTATGATTAACCGATGTAACGCCTCTTAGCCATTGCTCTATTGGTTCTTAATTTAAATTTGTATTGCCAGTCACGCAGTCTCCCATGACTCTACTGGTTCTGTTATACTTACCACGTATAATATCAGAAACGGACACTTTAGTAGCGTACCCCATTTGTTCAGTCATACCTACCATGTACAATCGGAAGCGGACACTTTGATAGCATCGTTCATTTGTTCGATTTTATCTATTCATTTTCGGTATTGATTCCAGCATTGGGATAAAACCAATATATCGTCTCCTATCCACAATTCATTGGTTCTTCTAATTCGACATTTTCACACATAATTCTATTGGCCCCGTTCATTTGATTTTGCATGAGGAAACAGAAGAGTTATATCTACCATCTATAATCAGAAACAGACACTTCGGTAGCCTCGTTCATTTGTTCAGTGAATCATTCGGCTGTAAGTTCGTTTATGTTCATTTATTTATTAAATGGACGAACATGAATAATATTTTGTGTTCGTTTAATTAAATGAACAAACATGAACAGATGACTCGTTCATTCATTTACGTTCGTAAATGTTCAGTAACATGAACAGATCTATTTAAAATATTAAAGGCCAATAAATTTTAATTTGATACCCATAAATATTTTAAAATTTAATTAATTTTAAAATAAAAAATCCCAAAACAATTAAATATAATATAATCCTAAAATTGTTAGGAAAGAAAAAAAATTATTTTCATTTATGTTCGTTTGTGTTTGTTTATGTTCATTCGTTTATGTTCATTTACGATTGTTTATTTTATTTGTTTATGTTCGTTCATTTGTATTCGTTTATCATTTAAATGAACGAATTCGTGTTCGTTTGATTCGTTTACATGTATAAGTCTGAACCCTGGAATTATAAATATTGATTCGAATTAAATAACTATAAAATCGGATATAGGTAATTATTAAAAGGAAACTGAGGTTGCAATCATTACCAATATCAACTATTTTTAGGGTCTACCATTGATCTCCAGACACGGAGGTCCATGGTGCCCTAAACAAAGGCTAAACAACAAGCTTTAGAAAACTTTGAAAACCCTAAAAATGGAGGAACACTGCAAAGCGAAGCACAGAAAGTCGGGTTCATGGATACTCCGGTTCGCCATTGTCGAAGCGAATAAGAGGACCATTGCATCTGGGGCAACCGTTAGATTTCTTGGGGACTAAGAAATACATATAGCACCTCGAGCAACCGCCCGCCACGAGCACGTCGTACTCCTCTTCTTCGGGTTCCTCACGGTGGTCGTCGTCGTCGTCATCACCGTCATCTTCATCATCGTCGCAATCTTCCGATGACGAGTAGTCGTCACTGTCACTGTCATACCAGCCATCATCATCATAATCATCATCATCGATGTAGTCATCGCCATCAGGGGAGTAATCTCCGCCATACTCTGCCCTCGGATCATCTGCCGGTTCCACCCCGTCCCTCCGGTTCTTGCATTGAATCTCCGCCGCCTGCAAAATGAAACTTCCACAGATCGAAACCATTCCCCGAAAACAAAATAAAAGAGGAAGGAATTTACCTTCAGGTCGAGGCATTGCTGCTTCAAATAGTAAGGGAGGGAGACATGGGAGCTGAGCTCCGAAACAGCACCGTTTGGAATCTTGTTATCACCGTCTTCTTCCTCAGGGCCACCCTTATGGTTCAAAGAAATTTTTCGAAAAGAAGCAGTGATCGTCTCCATGTTTGGCTCTTTCACTTTATATATCATACGTGAAATCCCCATAAAATCGAAACGAAGACGACGACGAAAGATTCAAGGGAAAAAAGGATTATGGGATGTGAGAATTGCTTTGATTTTGAGTTATAAATAGGCGTGGGAGTGTATTATTTTAACGTATATCACCCTCTCTGTGGACCCTCTAACAGATAGTTTAGTTTCAATTACATGTGGAAATCCGATTTATTTTTAATTTCTATAATCTTTATATTGAAATACTTTTTAGTTAAATCATACTCATATCCAATCATTTAATTGATTAATCCGGACCAAATATTATAAAGATTCATTACGAGAATGATTCTCTTAATCTAATTATTCCATTCATAACGTCATAACACATTTTTCACGTATAAATCGAGCGTTACTTAAATATATTTCACGTCTTTTTATATACTGAACCAATAATAATAATACAAATTAAATTAAACTTATAAAAACCCTCCACATGTTCTTTTTAGATTTGTTTCATTTTAGATATTTTCTAATCATCGTTATTTAATAAGGATAATCGAATGTTCAGCAGAAAGTTCGTTTATGTATTAAACGAATACACATGAACAATATTTTTTGTTCGTTTGATTAAATGAACGAACGCGAACGAAAGACTTGTTCGTGAACGTTCGATAATCTATTCATTTATATTCGTTTATTTATGTTCATTCATTTATTTTCAGCACAATCTCCAAACTAATTTAAAATATTAAGACCTAATAAATTTTAATATTAAACCCATTAAGATTTTAAAATCTAATTAATTTTAAACGCAAATAAAAAAATTACCCAAATCAATTAAAGAAAATATAAACCATAATATTATTTAAGACAAACTCTTCTCAAATATTAACTTGATTAATTTTATGTTCGTTTACGTTCGTTCATTTGTGTTCGTTTATCATTTTAACGAATGAACATGAACAGACACGAACAAGCTATATTCTTTAATGAATGAACACGAACAAAAAAATTCGTTCGTTCAGTTGTTCATGTTTGTTTGTTTGTTCGGCTAAGGTTAATCGAATGAACATGAAAACAACCTCGTTCGTGTTCGTTTGGTTCGTTTACCGGCAGTAGCAGAACATGGTGATAGAGTTTGGGGGGTAATTTGAAACTTTAAAAGAATCAAAGGTTTAAATTAATTGTTTTTAAAATTTTTGAAGGGTATAGTTTACATTCCCCCCCCCAAAAAAAGGGTCTAACTAAATTTTTTAAAAGTTTGAGAGCCTTAATGAGAATTTTTAAAAATTATGAAAAAGTTTTACTCAAGAACATACAAAAATTTTAAAGTTTAATCTAAATTTCTAAAATTTTTGAGGGACCAAATATTTTTTTTGAAAATTTTACAGGTCTATATTATAATTTTTAAATTTTGGGGGGTGTCATGGTCCCAATAGTCCCTCTTGCCTTCCACCACTGTTTATAGACCTAATAAGGATAATATATATAAGTCATAATCCACTTATTCCTAGTGTGAAACTTTTTATTTTATACCCTTTAGGATTGTTGAATGAGAAGAAATCAAAAATTGAGATTAATTCTTTTTGTTTCCAGTGAATCTCTTTTTAATTAATATTGTAAATCTTAGTCTTTGGTTTCCTCTCATCCAACGATCCTAAAAAGGTATAAAATATTTTAATTTTGCACTATGTAATTAAATCATAGCCCTACATGTGGAAATCCGATTTATTTTTAATTTTTATAATCTTTAAATTTAAGTGCTTTTTAGTTAAATCATACTTGAATCCAATCATTTGATTGATTAATCCGAATCAAATACTATAAAGATTCATTATGAGAACTACTTTCCTAACCCAATTGTTCCATTCACAACGTCAGGACACGTTTTTCACGTATAAATCGAGCGTTACTTAAATATATTTGATTTCACATCTTCTTATATATTGAACCAATAATAATACAAAGTAAATTAAACTCAATCAAAGCCCTCCACACGTTCATTTTAGATTCGTTTCCTTTTAGATATTTCCTAATCATCATTGTTTAATAAGGATAATTGAACGTTTAGCGGACAGTTCAACGAGAAGTTTATTTATTAAACGAACGAATGTGAATAATATTTTATATTCGTTTAATTAAATGAACGAACACGAATAAAAGGGTTGTTCTTTCATTTACGTACGTTCGTGAACGTTCGGTAATTTGTTCTTTTATTTATATTCATTCATTTATGTTCTGCTCAATCTCTAAACCAGTTTAAAATATTAAGACCTGATAAATTTTAGCATTAAACCTATTCAGATTTTAAAATCTAATTAATTTTAAACCCAAATAATAAATATCCAAATCAAATAAAGAAAATGTAAGCCTTATATTGTTTATGAAAAATATATTCTCAAATATAAATCTGATTAATTTTATGTTCGTTCGTTCATTTGTGTTCGTTTATCATTTTAACGAATGAACATGAACGAAAACGAACAAGCAACATTCTTTAATGAACGAACGCAAACAAAAAAATTTGTTCGTTTAGTTGTTCATGTTCGTTCGTTTGTTCGGGCTAAAGTTAAACGAACGAACATAAACACACCCTCGTGCTTGTTCGTTTGGTCCGTTTACAGGCCTAAGGATAATATATATAGGTTAGGATCCTTTTACACCTAATGTGAAACGATTAGTTTTACACCCTTTTAGGATAGTTGGATGAGGAGAAATCAAAGGCTTAGATTAACTCTCTTTTTTTCGTGATTATCTTCTCATTTACTATTGTAAATCTCACTCTTTGATTTCCTCTCATCCAACAACGATACTAAAAAATTGTAAAAAAATTAAATTTTGCACTATGTAATTGATTTCTAGTCGTATACATGCGCCTGTATATATATATATATATATATATATATATATATATACATGCACGTGTGTGTATTTTATAATTTAAATTTAATATTTATTATGATTTAATTTATTTTTATCAAACAATTTAGTTATATCTATATAATATAATTAATATATTTTATAATTTAAATTTAATATTTATTATGATTTGATCAGTTATAATCTAATTTTAAGCCTAGTCTCAATGCTTTTCATTTTATCTGTGAATTTATTCGACGCAACCTTTTATCTATGGTATTATTTTAATGTTATTTTTTTAATTAATTGACTCTTTTAAATTGATGAATTAATTTAATAACGATGTGCGTCAACAGAAATATCTTATACATAAACATATTCTTTTAAAAAATAATGATTACTAGTAAAATATTAAAAAGGTAAAAAAACATAAGAGGTCTATGTACTTTTGAAAAAGAATCAACGTGGCCTTTGTATTATTTTTCTTTCAATGTGACCCTCTAACTCAGAAAATAAATCTAATGTGACACTTTGACCAACGTTTTTTTGTCGTTAACCGTTACGGTGCTGATGTGTCAATTCACAATGCTGATGTGACAATCTACAATGATGACATAGTAGTTCAGGATGGCATATTAACATGACATGATGGCTAAATTGATGACTCAAATATGACAAATAGATTTTCACGTCAGCACCGTGAACTATCACGCATGTATTATAACAATTAACGACGAAAAATGTTAAACAAAAAATCACATTGAATTTATTTCCAAATTGAAGGGTTGGAAAAAATTATACTAGAGTCACATTAGGTTTAATTTTACTTGGATTTTGTGTTGGTTGACATGCTTGGGTGTTTATTGTTTATGCGTATTGTGAATGAGAAGATGGACAAATTGATCCAGTGGGCAAATTTCAAGTTACTTGACCTGAAAATGGAAATACAATTTTGGGTTTTTGTTAGGCCCATAAATAAATAGAAGGTTGGTTTGTGATGATAAATAAACTATAAATAAAAATTTTATATTCTTTTAATTAAACGAACAAATTTGGATGTACGTTTAATTTATGTTCACGAATATATTCGTTTATAAACTTATTTGTTAGTGGAGACGGACACGTGATTATAAGTTAAGAGACGAATTTGAACTTATAAAATTTCAAGTGATAAACTTTAAATTATAAAATTTTAGGAGGAAAAGCTAGTTTTTTTAATAGAAAATACGTAAAATAATCTAAAATATATGATAATTTTATATTTTTAAGGGCAACCATCCCCAAGCCTAGGTCTATCCATACTCTGAAGTCCAACAAAATTGATAGAGATGTAAATATTTTGTTATATATATATATATAGAGAATCCACTTATATTATGTAAAAAAAACTAATGAGTTTTACATCAATTTATATCCATTTTATTTAAATAAACAAATGGCTTAGATTTAATTAAAATTTAAAATTCGTAAATAAATATTTATTTAACTCACATTAAACAATATTTTTTTAAAGTTAGAGTTTGAGATTTAAGGTTTATGGTTTATGATTTAGATTTTAAGATTTAAGAGTTTAGGGTAAGGATTTTAAGGTTTAAGGTTTACAATTTTGAATTGGAGTAAAAAATATATTGTTTTATTGCGAGTTAAAATATATTAATTCATGAGTTATCAATTTTAATTAAATCTAATTTATTTATTTATTAACTATTGAATTATGTCAACCAAGTCGCATGTCGTTAATATTTGGATGAGAAGATACCATAATAATTAACAAATCTGGTATAATTGCACATTACATCCTCATTATTTGCACATTCTATCAATATCGATCTACAAAGGCTCCTTTAGAGTACATCGGTAGCAGCCTTCTTGTGGTTTCACATATTAAATTTTATTATTTTAAAAATATATTATTTACTAAATTATTATTGAATCAATAAATCAACCTGAATTAGGTTAAATAATTGATTCAACTACCAATATAATTCTTATAAGATTTGTTTTACTAATTATTTTTATAATGAAATTGTCAAAGACTTTTAAAAAAAAAAATATTAATTCGTGCAGTGATGAGATAGTTACTTCCATTAAAAACGTGATGGATTAACTTAAGAAAGCTACAATCTCACGTTATCTTCGGGGGACCTCCT